TAACACCTTATTAGGATTAATACTGTTGGTATTTTTATGGCGGGTTTCAGTTTTTGAGTTGATACTGTTAATGACGTTAATCAGGGGGTTGTAGTCGATCCATGATATATTATGGAATATGTATATTCCAAAGTATTCCATAATTAAATGTTTGTTACTGTACACACACACGTGTCAAATGTTTATTGTTGCTGCTGTCGTTTTGTTGTTAATAATTAAACTTTGATTCCCGTCGAATGAATCTGTTGTTAACATTAATGTTTTATCACAATCTACTGTGTTATGTACCTGCTTAATCTTCAACATATACATTTAAAATATACAATGATTAGGGCGCTCGAGTCGCAATCTGAGGGTCGCGGGTTCGAATCCCCGTCACACCAAACATGCTCGCCTTTTCAGCCTTGGGGGCATTATAATGTGACGGTCTATTCGTTGGTAAAAGAGTAGCCGAAGTTGGCGGTGGGTGGGGATGACTAGCTGTCTTTCCTCTAGTCTTACATTGCTAATTAGGGACGGCTAGCGAAGATAGCCCTCGTGTAGCTTTGCGCGAAATTCAAAAAACTGTTACGTCTCGGTTCGTTAGTTAATTTTCCGTAAATTCGTTCCGACGAAACTTTAGCGACACAAGTCCTTTCTTAAATAAAACTGGTTTATTCTTTCCGAATACAACTTTACGATACACTTAATTTCAACAGTCGCTCTATAACAAACACTGTAATTCACGTCTCACGTGGCCAACAATATTTTGTCCGCATACATTCAATTACTCATTACACTGTTGTTCCGTCACGTTGTGACCGTCTTATATATATACAAGACTAACACATATCTAGTAAATGCTAGGGCATTCACGAAGGAACAGGATATTTCTAGAAAACAGGTGGCGTGATACTAGTCACGTGACCTCGCTGACGCAACAAAACAAACAAACAGTATACAATGAAATGTATCAGTTTCGACCAAAATGTATAAAGTAAATATGAACAGAAACAAACTATAAATAAAGTTAATATATTATTTTCTTTTTGCAAGTAAATCTTATAATACTTATAAAATATCGTTTACTTACCTGCAATGTCCCAGAGTTGTAGTTTTATGGTCTCGGTGTCCGAATATTTGATGACTTTCAAAGCAAAGTCCACTAAAATCGCAAATAAGATCATCAAGAAGAAGACATTAACTCACTGTGTAACAAATGATTACATTAACTTACCAATGTTTAAAAATTAGACAGTTTATAAGCCTGAAGAATGAGTTTTCACAGTTCAGTCTGAAAACAAAGGTTTGAAATTATATATCAATTGATTTTGGTACGGTAATTTAGAAATTTGACGTCACGTGATGAACATGTAAAGTGTAAAACGCGGGTTAGACTAGAGCAGTTGATTCTTGATTATTGAGGTTACCGAGTTTTTCAGTTTATCTGTTAATCTCAGACAGTTTGTTCAATTTTA